ATTGGAGTATCTGGATTTAGGATGGTAAATGGATGTGACTGGTGGATAGGGTGAGTAGACATAGGACGTAGGTTTTGGGTATTGAGAAAAGATAGCTGGGGAGATGCAGAAATATCTTGTGTAGATGGTGAGAGAGCAGGGTGCAGGACTGTTTTGGAATAAGTTGAGAGAGAAAAACCTCGTCGTCGTGCTTCCTGTCTGGCCTCTCATAGAGTGAGGCCTAGTTTAAATCTGAGGACTGCTACCTCACATTCAAACTTATAGGCAGGGCAGCTCCTGTAAAACACATTATGGGAGTCTCCACAATTGGCACATGTACGTGACTGAGCAGGGCAATTTGAACGGTCATGACCAGGTTGGGCACATAGAGGGTAGCGGGCTGCGGAGCGACAAAGTTTGGCTGGGTGACTAAAACGCCAACATTTTTGACATTGACGAGGAAGGGGTTGATATTGTCGGACATGATAAGACAATCCACCAATATAAACCTCATGGGGGAGGTCTTGTCTATGGAAGCTAATCTTGGCCATATTGACATTTATGTTGGCCTGTAGAAGGAAGAGTGTAACACTGTACTGCCACTGCATCATATTCATCAAGGCAAGAAAGTAGGTCATTTTCACTGTCTGACCAGTCCTTGTTATGCATGGGACAAGCATTTGGGGGAATAGAAACAGTTCCAGTACAAGTATTAAGAGTTGGGCGAGGTTCGGCAGGAATGGGTTTGCCAGTAAGCTCAGTTAGGGCAGATAGTGCACGAGCTTGAGCTTCAGATGTAACTGTGACAAGGCGTGAACGATCAGACCGACTGCGAAAGGTAACCTTGCCTACTTGTTTCTGGAGGCACTGCTGAAAGAGATGGGTATTCTCAGAATAGGGGGCTGTGGGGGGAATCACAAAGAATCGATCCCACTTGGCTGGGCCAAACAGAGTACCCAGAAGGTTTGCAGAGGTAGAGGTAGTAGAAGGACGAGGGCGAGAGAAGATGAAGTGGTGTGGAGTGGAGTAGTTCTGCGGGGGGGAAGACAATAAGGATGAAGAGTTGTAATAAGGGAAGAGGGGGTTGACATTGAAGAGGGTCGGATGAAGAGGAGAATGTTGAGGATGAGGAAAAGGTATTTTCCAGGGGTTGAGTAATAACCTGAATGGGTTTTTTCAGAATGGTAAGAGTTGTTCGTAAGCGTCGAAGAGGGGGTATTAGCATCAGTGGTTGGAGCCGTGGTCAAAGGAGGGGCAGGGATCGGAAAACCATCAAAATCAAATTCAGATAGGCTATTTGATGAAGGGGCAAGCCTTAATTCCTCTATCAAGGGTAAGGAATCTTCATTACTGGCCATGGTGAGCCTGAATAAACTGGGGAAAAGAAATGGTTTACCCCTTAGGGTCCCCTTAAGAGGTAAAGGCTAAGTAATTAACCAAGGGAATACCGTGCCCATGGCTCCCGGAGGCCGTTCGTGACTGACACAAAACCAGCCTTTCATCCTTTCATCACGGCTCTCACACCTTAGGAATGGGATAGAAGAAGGGAGTAAAGAAGATACGGAAGAGGAAAGAAGAGAAGAAAGGACCAAGCAAAATCAGTTGAGGCAAGGGCTGAGGCCCAAGGCAGGGGTAATCCTCTACATTGGGTCTCAGTCCCCGTCTCCTAAGCCCTCCCACGACGACAACGAGCTAGGTTTTGAGGGTTGAAACGGTGAAGCTGGATTAAAATGAATGACCTTTTTTTTTTGTTAATGCATCCACATCGTCCACCTCAGGGAAGTTGCGAGCAGCTGATTCTCGCTATCTGCTTCCTGTGTCCGTATGGCAGTTTGTTATGTGCACCACCTCTTGGCATTAGATCTTGGTTCTTTCTTTTATTTTTATCGCTTTTTCCTACGAGTGCAAATCCATCCGCATCCACATTGTTGGAATCACACGTTTCATGTCACAATATTTTGACTGAAGTTATGGAAACATTGGCAGTTGCAGGTAATCACGAGATATTGGTGGGTAATTTTATGGCCCTTTATTGGTGTTATAAAAGGATAGTTTTGTGTTTGTCAGTTGCAGGTAAGTTAAATATGCATCAAAGGAGTTGCAAAACCTATGCAGCGTTTATAAAATAAAGACACCGGTATGATAAAAAAAAGTGAATGTTTACATTCGAGCCGATTGCATTCTGAGCAGAAAGGGTCTTGGAGGTTCCGAACGCGGCCCACTTGTCCTGCTGGTCCTGGACACGTTGTCTGGACGAGCAAGAGGAGGAGTTCCGAACGCAGCATTATTTGTCACAACAGGAGTCGTGTTACTGCTGTCAGGCCGGGGAGCCCGGGCACGCGGGGGCAGCAAGACCATGGTCGCATCACTCCACTCTGACTCGGCGCGGTTGGCGCAGGGAGGGGGGGGGGGGGACCTTGCTTGTCGTTTCCCCTTCGGTTGCTGCCCTTGGTTCTCCCCTTGCTGTTCTGGTGCGATTGCGTGGGTGTGTATGTGTGTGCGTATTTTATATATATATATA